CAAGGACTCCAGAAAGGGTGGTAATCTGAGCTTCTGTTAGGCTCATAGGCACAAACAACAGTCAGGACTTGTCCCCACACACGAGGGAGGCTACCCTCTCGTTCACCGGGGTGAACCCCAACATACAGGCACAGAGATGGGGGGCAGTAAGTACGCCCACTCCTGCTCGGTGCCTCTCAGCATGGACAACTCCAGAGTGGAAGAGTGTCCAACCCCTCTGGAGGAGACTGGTTCCAGAGCCAGAGCGGTGTGTCGAGGTGAGTCCAACTATATCTAGTCTGAACCTCTCAACCTCACACACCAGCTCAGGCTCCTCCCCCACCAGAGAGGTGACATTCCACGTCTCTAGAGCAGCTTCTGTACAAAATAATGTTTTATATACTGTAAAAGTGTTTCAACAACAAACAAATCATTTCTCAAATGTTCAACAAAATGAAAATAAAGTGGATGTTTTAACCAGAACTTCAGGTAAAATTACTCATTTAGACATAAAACATTTTAAGTTATTTAAAATGTTACAGTGTGACAGGACCTTCAGCTGCACATGGTCCTGTCATAAAACTGTTTCACATAACTGGAATATAAGTGTGGTGAAGCCAAATAAATGTAATATCTGCCTGCCATACAGTGAGCTTCTGCCTGCTGCTCTCATCTTCATCATCTTCATGGTCAGAGCAGAACTGTGACATTAACAAGATGATTTATGACTGAACAAATGTGCACATCTTTTATCATCTCTGTGGGAAACAACAGATAAAAACCAGTTTTTCTCCAACAACTTGGTGTAAAAACTAGAGTTGTTAAAGTTTGTCTGTGTGTGACGTGCTGCAGGAGGACGAAAKGATTCAACACATGATGTAACTTTTCTACAGCGGGAGGAGAAATGTTGACCRTTTATTCTCTCTGTACCTGTTTTAAACTCTAGATTTAGTCCTTTTATTTAGAACTCCTCCTGCTCAGGTGTGTCTGCACTCACAGCCCTGTGGACACAGGTGTGATGATGTCACTGATGACAGGTGCATTTCTACTGTCTGCCACATACACCACTCAGCTCTACTGAGAGCACACCTGAGGGAAGCCCACTGCTCATACAGGTAAACTCACCTGCAGATTACCCCCCCCCCCCCCTCCTGAGGGCCGTTAGGGTCTTCAAGGTTCTGGTCTGTCCTCGTGCAGCCTCTGACCGTTTATGAGCATCCAACACTGGAGCCAGGGAGTGACAGACCCAGGAGAGTGGTTACCATGGTGACCACAACAAGCCTCTAGCACTCTTCTACAGTTCGTCCAACAAAACGTGACCATTTTGTCAGATTAGATCTTTTTAAAAAGGACAATTAAAATTTCCAGTTTTAACCTCTGCACACGTTTGTTTTTAAATATCCTCTTCATTCATCTCATTCTGTAAATCCTGGTTTTCTCAGAAAATAAACCTATTTGTCCCACTTCCTGTCAGCAGCAGCAACATCTGGAGCCCATCGTTGTGACAACAGCTTGCAGCTGGATCCGTGGTTGTGAGTGTGACAGGAAGCCTCTCACAGGGAAAACAGCTCCACAGAACCAGGAGCTCCACCTCATCATCATGTCCGGTGACCTCTGACCTTCACAATCATTTCCCCTCAATCAGGCAATTACCCAAAATGCATCAGGACTGTTTTCAGTCCAATCAGGAGATATTTCCACTCAAACATGCAAGGATGACCTTTGACCTCAACATCCGCTTGAGCAGTGGCAGCCGGTCAATAGGGGGCGCTAGGGCGCCGTCCCACCACTATTTTTGGTAAACAAAAAAATTGAAAAAATTAAAATAACAAAATAAAATGACATAAATAATGTTTTGAAAAAATATCGTATATATGTTTTCTGATAAGTGAAATAAATAATTTAGAGTTACTGATGTGTAAACTTCCTTTTTACTGATGAGCTTTTTCATGTTGAGTCACTTCTTGGTCACGAACTGTTCGCCCCCCCAGATTCCCATAAACAAGTCATTGTAAGATTTTGGACATGTGCAGTAAGTCCCCAATGCAAACGAATAGGGTGGCCTGGGGCGTGGCCTGGGGCGTGGCCTGGGGCGTGGCCTGGGGCGTGGCCTGGGGCCGCCCCGCAGCTGACCTCACACAACCGGTAGTGGGTTACAGTACGTGACCAAGGTTTTTCAAGCATCAGGATCTGATCCAGCATGGATTAAAACAGGTAAGAGAAAAGCTATAAGGCTTTTGTAATGCTTATTAATCATAGTATTTTATATGTATTATATATTAATGGTGAATAC